CGGCCAGCAGGGCCTCTGCAGAGCCCAAGTCTGACCTAATAATTCCCACCTGGCCCATGGGCTTCATTGCTGCCCTAGGAAGGGAGAAGGAGTCATCCAGTTCGAAAGGGCTCTGAAAGCGATGGCCCCATTTGTGTGTATGGCCCAGAGGCTCAAAATTTTTATCCAGCCGTTCCCCCTTTGCAACAGGGGGATCAGAGAGACTGGGGGGTAGCCCCAAGATGCTCTACCCCTGCCCCAGCCAGGTGTGTAGTTTGCAAACACACGACATAACGAGGCTGTTCAGAACCAGTCGCTCCTGCTCCAGCCAGTGCTGAGCTGTCAGTATCCCCAGTACAGACCAGCCTGCCTGTGGGTCACGGTAGAGGGGCTGCTCAGGAAGAGCTGCTAACACCTCCATGGGTTTGGCCTAGGTCAATCTCTTGATGCCACTGCACCTGAAGGACAACAAAACGCGGAGTCTGAAGTGGAGGATCAACCTGAAGAAAAGCATCAGCCTCTCCAACCAAAGCCAAAATGCCAGCCTGGGACCTGCCCAGCCACAAAGTGAGTATCTGTGAGTTGCCCACCCTTTAGCAGAGTCCTGTCGGCGGGTCCATTGTCCTAATTCCGCCTGTGAAATTGGCTGTTGGGAGCTGAGTGGAAGGGAGTGTAGGCAGGGTCTGGCCTCCGGGACCTCACCTTAGAGAGGATTTTGCAAGAGTCTTACAGCCTCCTGTGGTGCATGCCCATTGCAGATAGCTGCAGGCCACCCGCGAGAGGGCATGGCACTACATGGTTAAAGTGGGAGAATGAGGTTGGCAGGCTGGAGTCACAGCACGTGATCGTTGGTTTTGTGCAGAGGAGTCTGGGGCTTGGAATGCAGCTGGTAGCTCTTCCCATAGCCTGTGTCCCTCAGTGTGGGGCTGGGTGAGGAACAGCAAATCAATGGGGAGCTGTAGGTCTCTCCTAGGCCTGCGTCACTGGTGTGTCAACACCTCCCCATCTAGCACCCCATGACCAGGGCAGTGCTGTGTCTGTGCCTGGAGAGCTGGACAATCCCCCTGGGGTGCATCCCCTTCCGTTGTCCCTGAGACCTTTGGTGCATCCTCCTTTGGACCGTACCAAAGAGCCTCACTCTTCCCATCAGAGGTCCATGGAAGCAGGCCCAGAGTGGGTGGCTTGGGCCGAGGCTGCTCCCCAGTTAGGAGCTCGGGGCGGATGGAGCCAGCTGTGGTGACTAGCTGGCTGCATAAAGGGTCCAACCCAAAGGGGAACAATCTGGAAGACAAGTGGGGTCCCTCCTGCTTTGTGTCAAGCAGAGGAGGCTCTCCAGAGAGGCTGCAGAAAGTGGTTTGCGAGCACATGGAGAGAAAGCTGCTGGTGCCCCTGCAAGAGCAAAACAAAGGTCGTGGGGCTGGGCAGGGAACAGAGGACAGGAGGGGAGTGCAGATGGGGAGAGACAGAAATAGTGTGAGAGATTCCTGCCAGCTTTTAGCTGACTTGCCAGCCATCAGCTGCTCTGGGTTCTTGGGGCATTACAAAGACAATGGTGAGCAAACTGGAGAGCTGCGCTCCTAAAAACCGTTGCTCAGTCTCCCTCTGCCCTCGCCTCCACAGACTGGGCAGGGAGGGTGTCCCTGGCCTTTATTTGTCAGAGGCTGGGAATGGGCAACAGGAGAGGGATTGCTGGCATTGGCCACTGTCAGCAGCCAGGATCCTGGGCTAGATGGACCATTGCTCTGACCACGCCTGGCTGTTTGTATGAGGCCAATATCCCCCCCCCTTGATGCTGGTAGCAGAGATTGGTCAGCAACCCTCGGGGAGACAGAAACTTGGGTCTCTTCCCTGTGGAGCTGGCCACTTGGTTCCCCTTCTAGGCCAAACCTTAAGTTCTCCATTTGCCTAATCACCCCCGTCTTCAGGGAACCTTCTGGCAAAGGCTGGCCCCAGCATCCTCACTGCTGCCCTCCCAACAGCCAGTCCCTTGAAGGGCTCTGCTCAGAGCTGCTTCTGCTACCCTGGGGGTCGGGTGGACCATGAGGGCTCAGGCGGCTTCTTATGGGTCTTGCAGTGACATCCCGGGTACACCAGTTAGCCTCAGCCTGGCGCTTGGCCAGCTGTGTGAAAGGGGAAGGTTTGGAAGCCCCTCTGGAGCAAGCGGCTTAATGGCTTGCAGAAGGCGGATCGCGTCTTCAGGCCCTGCAGGCACTCGCTCCGGCAGCTCGCCAAGTAGGTGAAAGTTGAGCCTTAGTCTCCCAGCAGGGCTGGGATTCCAAACTGCGCTCAAGGAACCGTGTTTCCTCGCAGCGTGCTGGTGGTGACCTTCGCGTTCCATAAATAGGAGGCAGTCTGGGGTAATTCAGCTGGGCCTTGTTGTTAACGTTCCTCGATGGATTTAGTAAAATAAACAGGTTTGCTCTTTGTTTGCATCTGCGTAAGGGTGCCTGCCCTTTAGAGCTGCAACTGACCAGGCCGAAAAAACTTGAGTCAGGAAAACCTGAAGGGTCCTTCTAAAGTAAGATGAGTGGAGGTTCCGGGGCCAGTGGCACCTAACTGAGTTGGACTGTTGCTGCTGCTGCAGTCAGGGAACTGAAGGAGGAGCTGAGTAATGTATGTGGCAAAGCCCAGCATGAAGGACTGTTTAACAGGAGCCGCTTGGGGATTCTTGGTCCCAGCAAACAGCCACCATCCTGCAGGTTAGAGGCTAGCATGAGCCTGCTTCCAGCCCCATGGCAAGCTCAAGTAATGGACAATGCTCAGATTCCCAGCCCCCGTCTGAATCTTCCCTCCAGGCCCAGGGGAGGGAGTTGGGGCAGGGCCCAGGATGGGGTGGTGAGTGTGTTAAGGGTGTTGGCTGGCTTGGTGCCATTTGTCATGGCCCTGACATGCTCACACGGCCCCTCAGGTACCTGGCTCCTGGTGCTTCTGGCTGGGCCTGTCTGGTCAGGACTCGGTGGGACTCAGACTTTTCCTAAAGCACAAATGGTGCAGCCCAAGGGGTGCCACTAGTTCAAGAGGCCAGCGCATGAATGACCCCTTGTTTTCATGCTAGCATCTGCAGGCTGGTGTGGGGCACCAGCAGTCATCACAGTCACCCTGCGGGACAGTGATTTCAGCTGCTAACCCACCACTCGCCTGTGCTCCCTGCATCTGGTTGCATGGTGGGGGGGAGGAGAGGAGAGGAACAGGCTCAGAGCCAAGTAGGTGGAAGTTCAGACCCTTGCCAGAGCACAGCTGTTATGACAGTTTCGGGGGCAGCCCATGCTGGCTGGGGGAGGGGGCAGCCCCTGATTGGCTGGGAGGAAATTAGGTGAAAGTTGACAGTCAACTCTGGCTCTCCCTTCCCCCTGAGCAGCCTTTGCTTTGCTGTCTTGGGATGAACCCCTCCTCCCCCTGCACATTCCCAGCCTGGGCTCCCTTCCCCTCCTGCAGACTGGCCTGCTCACAGCCTGCTGATGTGAGCGCCTGCCTTTCCTGCCTGACTTCCATCCCGGCTGCCTCGCTGTGCCACTTGCCCTGGGGGGGGGCCCTTTTGTCTGCTGGCTGGGGCCACGTGGCGTGTGGCTGGCACTGAGTGCCCCGACTGCATGTCCCATTGGCCCTGCTGCCCAGAAACCAAAGTGAGAAGCCTTTGCAGTGCTCTGCGTAGCCTCCTTTCGGCTGATGTGTGCAAATTGAGGGTTGGGGGAGAATCAGCACCCCCAGATTTTGTGCAGGTCCCAAGGCTCCTGTGGTCTTGGCTGCAGGACCCATGCCCAGGGCTCTGCTCCCAGCCCTTTATGGGCCGAGGAGCCCCAGCTGCCACAGGACCTGTGCTTGAGGCTTTCTTCCTGGTCTTGCACATGCAGCCTCTGGACCCGCATCCAAGGCTCTGCATGTGGGGTCCCTACTGCCACCAGCCCTGCATCCGAGGCTCTGCTCCCCTTCCCACATGCAGGAGCCCAACCATGGCCCCCTTAACCCTGTCCATTGTGCCTCCCCCTCCCCCGGCCCGAGCCACAGCTCTGCTGCTGTCTCATTTCTGGTGGGTGGTGGGACACCGACAGGACTAAGGGGAGAAGTGTGCGGACCACTGGCTTTAGCGCCCCCCACCATTAAAAATGTTCCAGCGCCACTGGGCAGAGCTAAGCAAATGGGTGAGGGTGGGGGAGAAGATCCTGGACACCTCACTCCTGTGGGGGGGAAGCAACAGAATCTTCTCACCCCCACCCCTGTGAGCTGGGAATGGAGGGGGGCCCCCACTTTCCACCCAGCCTGCACTGTTGGGGAAAGAGCTCCATCTTTTCCTGCCTGCCCAGAATAGCCCTTCCTGCTCGCCTGCCTCCCTCCTGCAGCAGTGGGGGGGAGTTTGCTGAGAGCGTGCCCCCTTCAGCCCCTCGCTTCCCTGAGCTCTCTGCACCAAGCCTGACAGCCCCAGTGTGGGCTGGAGACAGTGGTGGTGCCTCGGGGCCTAGGCCAGTGTCACCACGGTGCTGGCGGAGCAGCTTCCTGCTGCAACCCAATCTCCTGTGTGATCAGCGGCACGTACCCCCGCTCAGCTGCTCCGCCTGGGCCAGCCTGGCTGTCCCGCACTCTGCATTAAAACTCCACCTCCAGCCTCGCACGGGGCGGGTCGCGGTTGTGTCTTTGCGCTCCCCAGTGGAGGGCCCAGGCCTAGGAAGTGGGGGAAAGTTCATGTTTACTCCCAGCTCCCTGTGATTCCTCCTGAACTCCTGCTCATGGCAGCTGCACAAGAATCCCTGTGCAGTGAGACAAGCCCGAAGGAGGGGCTGCCTGGATTTCCCAGCAGCTCGGGGGGAACAGACAACATGTTTCAAAACAGAAAGCAAAGGGCCCTCTCCCAGCTTCCCCCGACCAGCCACGCTGGGAACAGGCCTTGCTTTGTCCAGGGGCGATGCCCGGAAAGGGCTCTTGCCACCTATTGCTGGCAGACAAAAAGCCGCTTGATTTTGCGCCTGTTTCCTTGGTGCTCTGCAAAGCTGGGTGAAGTCCCTCTGTGTCCTGACAGGTTCCTGTCCTTGTGCTGCAGGATTTAGAACAGGATTCTTCCTAGGCCTGGGGATTGTTCCCTGTGGACTTTCACCAGTTCTGTTGAAATGCTGCCTTGCTGGCAGTTACAGTAAAGCTGAGGCCAAAGTCCAGGCGCCTGGGGAAAGGATCAAAACACCCCTTCGCTTTACAGTGAAGTCTTGCTGGTGCCCTGCAGGGAATGGTCAGAACCTCCGGCCAGTGGCAGCCTGGTGGGGCAGCTCTCTGTTTGAGCTACTCCTGGCCTGTGGTGTGGGCAGGGGGAGTCCCAAAGAGTTAGGCCTGGGGCCCCTTTCCCAATCATTGCATTTGGGGGCATTGCTCTTATGAGGGGCTCTGGACAACAGGGTCCCCATATGCTGACGGCGCTCAGCTCTGCGTCTGTCATCTAATGTGAGGGAGATGGGGTTCATGCAATAGTGGTGGTCCAGGAGTAAGTCAGGACAATATCCGCAACCATTGCCCTCTGCTGCGGGGAGAGGCATTACCCCCTCCCACCATCTGCCTGCATCATGTCCTGACTCTGCTTACCCAGAGTTAGTGTCTGGAAGCCGCCCAGGGCTGCAGCCTGGTTGCCCCTGCTCTGCACAGCTCATGTGATCCTCCTCACCAGCTCCTCCTCCAGGCTTTTGCTCTGGGCCCACGTCTCTGGTAGGATAGTAGCTGTCTGTTCTCCTGGGCTAACTTCCGCACAAGGTGAGGCAGAAGCTGTGGGGCCTAGAGGGAGGTACTTTGGGAAACATTAGGGTTTGTTGTTACTTATATCTCCATCGTGCCTTTTGGGCACTAGTCACAGAGCAGGTGCGCTATAAGCTCTCTCTAGCGTTAGCGTTCAAAGCGCTGATCCAGCGGGGCTCGTTTGGACAAGGGCCTTGCCACTAGAACTGTGGTGCTAACGCACCTCTTCAGAGAGCAGCGTGCCAAGACAGCATCTTCTCAAGGCCCTCTTTGCTTCCTTGTAGAGCTCCCGCTGGGCTGCCAGCAGCTCTTCCTGGCCGGGCAGAGGAGCAGTGGTGTGTTTGAGATCCAACCCTTGGGGTCACAGCCTTTCCAAGTCTACTGTGACATGACTGCTGGTAAGTGAGGGGAGCACCATGGGCCCTTCTGAGGTCTGCAGAACTTAACAACAGACCTGAAAAAGTGAACAATCTCTTCCACCCACAGAAGGCGGCTGGACAGTCATCCAGAGGCGCCTGGATGGCTCTGTGGATTTCGACCAGCTTTGGGAAGCCTACAAGAATGGCTTTGGAGACCTCAGCGGTAAGCAGATGGTGGATGGCAAGCAAATTCCATCCCAATGCTGAGCCATTCCTGGAGGCAGAGCAAAGATCTCCAGCCAGCATGACACATGCTGGAGTGGTTGGGTCTGGCTGGCCTGACATGGGATTGAGGAAGTCCGCCAGAAAGGGGTGCACACACCCTGTGACTCCCTCTGGACACCAGAGACTCTGCATGCTAACATCTGCTTTGGATTGCCTAGTGCTTGTGTGTGATGTCAGCTAATGCAAAGCTCTTTGTGTTTCAGGTGACTTCTGGTTGGGCCTGGAGAAAATACATCACATAGTCCAAGAGGGAAGGTACCATCTTTTGATTGAGCTGCAAGACTGGGAAGGGAATTCTCATCTTATTCAGTTCCTCTTCAGCCTGACTGGGGAGAACACAGCCTACACACTCAGTCTCCTAGGGCCTCTCTCAGGAGAGCTGGAAAATGCCCTGGGGGACTTCAGACAGCTGCCCTTCTCCACACGGGATCAAGACAATGATCTCAAAGCTGACACCAACTGTGCCAAGCACCTGTCAGGTCAGTGCTAGCAAAGGCAGGGTGCTGTGTTCTTAAGCCCATTGGGGATTTCTCCCAATAGGGAAGCCGGTGACAGCCGTCTTCCTCCATCTGCCCCAGGCTGCTAAAAGCCCAGTCCTCCCTTTGCAGCAAAAGGCACCTCCCCCCCCCTTCTCTGAAAAAATGGCCTTTTGGGTATTTGGACTCCGATCTCTTCCTGATTCACCTTCCTCCTCCCTGGGATGGGACTGTGACTCCAGGGGTCAAGTGTGACACCTGATGATGTTCTCATAGTTCCAGGTTTTGTTACAAAGTCATAACTTGGCCTCACTGTGCCAGCGTGTTCCCTGAGACTCAAACCTTTCAGGCAAAGGAGGAGGCCAGAGGCATTCACCTGTGGCTGAAAGTTTGGCTTGTTTTAACTGTAACCAGAATACAAATGAAACGGCCAGCCCATATGAACCAGGCCCAGGGCATTTCCCACAAGGATAGCTGTGCTAGCAGTGCAAACACCTACACTGTCTGTAAGAGTCTGCTCCTTTCTCTTGGGGCCGCTCCTGGCTCACAGCCATTCAGCTTTTGCACCCCATGTGGCCAGAGACGGCCCATATGGGCTCTTGGATGTGAGTGAAATGGTCTTGAGGCTACAGTGGTTGCCTGGGACATGGGGTGTCCATTCAAAGTGTGCATGGACTGTTTGTGCCCCCATCTGTCCTGGATGATGCTGGGCAAGCTGCTGCAATTCAGGCTATGTCTACACTACAGAGCTTCTCTGGGATACCTAAGGTTTCCTGGAAAAACTATGCCGTGTCCAGGGAATGTGTCTGCGCTTCCCTTTTTTGGAAGCGCAGACACGCTCTTTCGGAAGCCCTATAAACCTTGTTTCATGAGGAAGAAGGGCTCTTCCAAAAGAGGAGGTTTTTTCAAAATTTGGCATAGGGCAGACGGGCCAAATTTCGGTAAAGCCTTTTCCAAAAAAAGAATCGGAAAAAGGTACGCAAATTGCAGAGCGCAATTTGCGTACATTTTTCTGAAAAAGAAGTGCAGTGTAGACATAGCCTCAGCCTCTTTTCCTGGAGTGTCAAATGGCACAAAGAACCCGCTGTAGCATGTCGATGGGTCTGCCTGACCTCCGTAGGCCAGCCACAGGGCTACAGAAATAGTGGCCTTCATTTGGCCTTTCTGATGGCCATATAGCCTGGAAGTTGAGCTCGAATTCTTGACACACCAGAGACCCTCTGAAATCCCTGTCACATCCGGTCTTTTAGCCTTCCAAAGCCCTGAGGGTGGTGATGATGAGCAGGCTGTGCTCAAAGAGGAAGGGAGGATGCAGCAATAGCTCTGAATCTGGGGTGATTTTTCTTTTGTTACTATGGGACTTTCTAGTTGTGAAAATTCCCATTGGCTGAAATCTGCCTCTTCCCTCCCTCCTTCTAGGAGGCTGGTGGTTCAGCACTTGTGGCCACGCCAACCTCAATGGCAAGTACTTCCGCTCCATCCCCCGCCAGAGGCACGAGAGGAAACAGGGCATCTTCTGGAAGACGTGGAAAGGGAGATATTACCCACTGAAATCTACCACCCTGAAAATCCGGCCTGCAGACCTGGAGACAGAATCCTAACCCAGCTGCTACATGAAAGACTTGACGACTTTTGCTCCCTCAAAGGAGCCCAGATGTACATCTGTCACTTGATGTTTACAGAAACCAGAAATGCAGCCTCTGTGACAGTCCAGCAAGGAGTTTTCCCACACACTAGCAGCTCTGTAGCTGGCAGAGTCTAGCATGGAGCAATGCAGCAGCTGGCTCCTGCTGTACATACAGCCACTTCTGTTACTGGGGTCTAGTGGACACAAAGGATGGGAGCTCCCAGAATGGGGGGGGAGGAGAGGGGAGTAATGCTGAACAGGGAGAAGGGTCACTCTGGAGCACAAGCTGGGGGAGCAGTCACAGGCCATCTGTGCTGCTTCCCTAGTCAATGGTGTCCAAAGCTTTCTGTCCATCTTTGTTGATCAGTTAACTCTGCTGTTAAGAGCATGTGTGGTTCCAGCGCTGATGCTGGGAAAAGGGGAAGTGTATGGGGTGCTTTTCCATCATAGTTACAACAGCTGTACTCGGGGGCCCATGTCTCCTTCCCCTCCTCTCCCTGGGATTCCCACCAGGAGGAAGCTCACAAAGCTCCCATGAGCTGGGAGGCTGCTGCCACGGTCAGCTTTATCTTCTAGGATAGCTCCCTGTTAGGTCTGAGGCTTGGCCAAACCACCATCCCATACCCTCCAGAACAGCTGACTTAGAGACCTCCTTTCCTGACCCATCTCCAGCCATGGCTGGTCAGTTGCTCAGTAGCAGCAAGAAGGAGGCAGCAAACGCAACTCCTCTCTGACCCCTTGTTTCTTCTGACCCCTGCCTAGCTGTCCCTGTCCCCTTCTCCTCAGGTCCCTAGACATCGGTGGACTGTGTCCTCCCCGGGGAAGGTTCTGGGGGTCCCTTGAGGAATGGGGACTGAGGTCCATCCAGCTCTGTTCACCCTCAAAGATCACATGCAATGCCTCCTTCCTGGCCTCCCTGCCTAGGAAGAACAGGTTCCTCCTCAGGATTCTACCCAGTAGTTCATCGCCTGTGTGACCAGGAAGCCAGACTGGATCCTAGACGTCCAGGTGGGCTCTGTGAATCCTGAAGGGGCCTAGTAGTGGTGCTCAATCAGCTAGAACTGCCTCTAGAATGATATGAGGCACAGCCCTGCCTCTCTGCCCTTGAGCAAGAGTTGTGCTGCTCCTTCATCTTCTCCGGAAGGGTTTGTTTTTCCTTGAAAGATTCCAGAATTCCAGTGGGGAGAAAGCTCTGTCTCCTGGCTGTGGCCTGACATTGAAACAATGGTCTGAAGGGGGGGACTCTCCTGTACCTCACCTAAGATGCTGCCCCTATATATTGCACAGATGAGTCTAACCTCTTCAGAGACTGGACTTGGGGATTTCCCAGAGTCTTAAAAGACGGGTGCAGGTGTGCTGGAGGAGGGGCGGGGAGGAGGGAATGTGTGCCTCAGTTGTATTTCTTCACACAGTGCAGAGTTAGCCTGTGGAATTTCTTGCCAGAGGATGTTGTGAAGACCGGGATGTTAACAGGGTTCAAAAAATAGCTAGATAAATTCATAGAGGCTAGGTTCATCAATGGCTATTAGCCAGGATGGGCAGGAATGGTGTCCCTAGCATCTGTTTGTCAGAGGCTGGGAATGGGTAATAGAGGACTTAGGGATGATTCCCCATTCTGTTCATTCCCTCTGGGACACCTGGCATTGGCCTCTGTCGGAAGACTGGACACTGGGCTAGATGGACCTTTGGTCTGACCCAGTATGGCCCTTCTTATGTAAGGTGGTGATCACTGAAAAACTGTTACAGGCCAAGGTTCCCTCTTGGGTGTTCCCAAGTATCCTGCCCTATTAGTCATATTGACTGACTTGCTAGAGTTCTTAGCTGCTGAATACTGTAAATAGTTATTTGTAGAATGCTAGAGCTTTTTAATGAAGTGACTGTTTAATTTGTTTCAGTATTTAAATGTAATGTGGTATAATTTATAAATGTTGGGTTTGGAAAAGATCATCCGTAGTTTGTGTATTTTCAGCGCTAATGTTTTTTTACTAAAATCTGACTTTCTGCAGATGTTGTCTTTTTAATAAAACCCCTCACCAACCCTACAAACATTGTATGTGTGTGGTTCAAGTTGTCAGATGACTGTTAATGAGGAAGTGGGGGAGTGGGTGGACAGCAGGTGCGCTGTTGGTCCCAACTATGCTAGGTCAGTTCTGGTGCTTGCATGTTAAAGACAAAACTGGGGAGGGCTCAGAGTTACAAGGATGACTGGAAAACAGGTTCTACACTAAGTGAAACTAATGAAGCTTGATCTGTTTAGCTGATTGGCACTTGACGTTCTCTTCAGTGTTACTTCTGGGGGCATTCGGCACCAAACATTTAAAACTCTGCCCACAATTCCTCAAGTTGTATTTGTCCATAAATAAATGTGGAGGCTCCAGCATGGCAGAGGGAGCAATACATGGACTCTGAGGCTGCACTTGACCCTGACAGCACAAGGCCGGAGCCTGGGGCCATGCCCCTCTCTGTGCCCCACGTGTGAGGGGAGGGGGAAGAATCCAGGTGTGGAATGAGGATTCTCTGTGGGACAAGTCGGGTGCAGGCAGCTGTGTGTGGGGGTGGGGATGGTGGCTAGGGTGGAGGGATCTAGATGCGCAGAGGTTCATTGGGTGGGTTCCAGGTCTTGACGGTTGCTGGGGCTCAGTAGAGGGGTCTAGGTGCTGGGGGAGTGGGGCTTGGAGGGGTCTGGGTGCAATCAGTTTGGAGTCAATAGCAGGAGGGTGTAGATGTGGGGCTCAAGCAGAGGGCCAAGGGAGACGAATTCTGCCCGTTCACAGTTGGTCCTGTCTAATTGAGCCTACTTGCCCCAACCTGGTGCACCTGGCACAAAGGGTTGTGGCCCTAGGGTGTTTCTGGGGCAGGGCTAGGCCTTCTGCTGTCAAGGTGCAGCCTCACTTCTGAGTCCATGTCCTGGGGGGGGGCTGCTGCACAGTGACCTTCCACCTTCGTGCAGCCAGCATCCTGTGCTCCCCCTGCTATGCTGGAACCTCCACATTTATTTATTGACAAAGCCTGCAGAATTTTTTATTTTTTGGCGGAGAATGCCCTTTGGAGTGTCCAAGCCATGTGACGTGCCTCAGCAATGCCCTCTCATGTTCTGAAATAATACCTTGGGTAGATACTGGGGGAAAACAAGGTATTAGAGTCATTCCAAACTAACTGGCTGTGTCTAGACTGGCCAGTTTTTCCAGAAAATCAGCCGCTTTTCTGGAAAAACTTGCCAGCTGTCTACACTGGCCACTTGAATTTCCGCAAAAGCACTGACTTCCTACTGTAAGAAATCAGTGCTTCTTGTGGAAATACTATTCTGCTCTTGTTCAGGCAAAAGTCCTTTTTGCGCAAAGCTTTTGCACAAAAGGGCCAATGTAGACAGCTCAGATTTGTTTTCTGCAAAAAAGCCCCGATCGCGAAAATGGTGTTCGGGGCTTTTTTGCGGAAAAGTGAATCTAGATTGGCATGGACGCTTTTCTGCAAAAAGTGCTTTTGCGGAAAAGCGTCCATGCCAATCTAGATGCTCTGTTCCGAAAATGCTTTTAACGGACAACTTCTCCGTTAAAAGCGTTTCCAGAAAATCATGCCAATCTAGACGCAGCCACTTAGTCCTGGGAAGTTTTAAGATGTCAGGGCCACATGCTTTCTACTGTGCGCAATGTTGATTGAAGTAAAATGCTTATACATACAAAGAACAGTGAAATGGCTGCACCCTCATCTGTTCATGTTTGGATTTCTTTCTATAATGGTTGGAATACACGTTCTAGCTTTACTCTCCACTGATACTCAACCTTTATTTCCTGCACCAACCTTTATTTCCTCATAGTGTGAGCTACTGTCTGGCATGGTGGGCCTAATGTGCAGAAATTTGCTCTTGGCATGACCACAGTCAAAAGAGCAAAGGCAGCAGACAGTCCAGCCTTCCACAACAATCTCTAGCTATGGGAAGGTTGAAAGCCAGCTGAAGAAGCTGCTACCTGCCCAGCAAGCATGATTCTGGGATGTATTAACAGGAGTGTTGTGAGCAAGACATGAAGTTATTTTTCCCCTGTACTCTGTGCTGATTAGACCTCAGCTGGACTATTGTGTCCTATTCTGGTCACCACTTCAGAAAAAATTTGGAGAAGGTCCAGAGAAGAGCAACAAAAATGATTAAAGGTCTAGAAAACATGACCTATGAAGGAAGACTGAAAACTGGGGTGTTTATTCTGGAAAAGAGAAGACTCTGAAGGGGTCATGACAGCAGCTTTCAAGTACCTAAAAGGGTGTCACAAAGAAGAGGGAGAATAATGTTTTCAAGAAGCAATGGATTTAAATTGCAGCAAGGAGGTTTAGGTTGGACCAGGGATGTTAAATTTAGGTTAATAGGATAATCAAATAGTCAATGCAAATTGCATTGACTATTTGATTAGTTGATAAGGGTGCCTTCTCTTTTGCTGGCCCTGTGCTCTCCATGGCGTTTCAAAGCGGCAGCACTGCATGGAGCCCGGGGTCCCCAACTGACCCCACCTCCATGTGGCGTTGCCGTTTTGAAACCCCATTGGGAGCCCGGAATCGGGCTCCATGCAGCGTTTCAAAGCAGTACCATCACATGGAGCTCAGGGTCTGGCCCTGGGCTCCACGCAGCCCTGCCGTTTTGAAGCATCTCGTCCTCTTCCCCTGCCCTTGCTGCCTCTTTTGTATAGAGGCAGCAATGGGAGAGAGGGGGAGAGCGAGTAGTCAACTATTCATTCACATCCCTAGGTTGGATGTTAGGAAAAGCTTCCTGCCTCTCAGGGTGGTTAAGTTGGAGGTTGTGGAATCTTCATGAGAAGTTATTTAGAGTAAGTTAGACCAACACCTGTCAGGAATGATCTAGATGGTGCTTGGCCCTGGACTGGACTCCCTTCCAGTTCTAGTGCTCTGTGATTCTAGCCTCGTTCTCACTTATTCCTTGGGCCTGATCTACCTTATGGTGCCATTCCACTTCCCACTGGGAGGGATGAGGCCCACAGGCAGAGATGGTTCACAAAGCAGGAGTGTTACTGGGCTTCCCAGACAGGTGATAAGCTTTCTCTGAGAGAGACCCCTATTTTGCTATACATTGATGAGGAACGGGAGGTACTTAATGGGACGTCCCTAGGAATCGCCCCTCCTCTGTTTTCCAGTGGGTTCTTTGAATTCTGATTTTTGTCAAGTCCAACTGAAAGGGGAGAGCTCCCTCTGGTGAGGAGAGCGAGGACACTGCATGCAGTGCTACTCAGGAAACGGCAGGTTCTGACATTCCTGTTCTGCAGTGGTTGGGAAATGCCCAGGTCCTGGACCAGCACCAAGTTCCTGGTTGTAGTAACACCTGGTATCTGATGCTGTGTCCTGTTGACAAGTAATGAAAAGTGCCTACATGGCAGCTTCCACCCCCAGGCTGCAGCACAAGAGGGTCCTGGTTATTTGTGCAGCACAAGAGGGTCCTGGATCCTGGAGCGCAGCTTCCTGGGAGGGCACAAAGCTCCAAGTGTTGCTGGAAATAGCTGCCTTTTTTCTCACCCATCCTGCTTGTGAACAGACTCTTGCTCCCTTGGGATAGGTGCCTGGCCTTGGCTGCAGAGTGGTAGCTATGTCTAAACCCCACACGCATTGTAAAGGGGTAACAGAATCCTGGCTCAGCTTTAGAATGAGCAATAGTGTGTCTCTGAAAACTAGTTCTCCAGGCACCTGCCCAAGTTGGCCTGGAGCCAGCGGCCAGAGACCGATCCAGGGTGACACAGGCTTGGCATGTGCCAGACCACAGCTGGATCAGTGCTGGTGCCACGCTGCAGAGCAGCAATGCTGCTGGGTTGGTAGCCATGCACTCAGTGGACTGGCAGTGGCATGAAATTGATGAGCTCTCTTAACCTGCTATTCAATTGGCAAGATTTGACCTAGCCCCAACAGCCTCTGGCTGGGAAATGGGGTTTGCTTAGTTATATACCACACACTAGCTTCCTGCCAGTACGATGCAAATACCCCATGCAGGCAGTCAGGCGCTTGGACTGACTTTTACAGCCACAATAACCTCTTTGGCAAGAAGCATAGGACCATGCTAGAGCCTAGAGAAATAGTCACAAACAAAACAACACAACTCTTGAGCCAGAGAAATGATGCTGGAGTCTCCACACAGAGGTGAACAGGTTTTGTTCAAATGTGACACTAAACCCACTAAACCAGTGCAACGTGGTACGTGGATACTCTCATCCTGTTAGCTGTAGCTAAACCAGAACAAGCCAGGGTTAACCCACAGTAACGCTCTGCACCTGCTTCACTAGGCCCCACGACACTCATGCATCTGTGAAAAAAAGGGGGGGGGGCAAACTTTTTTTGCTGGGTGTGGCAAAAAACCTAGCGCCAGCCCTGCCAGGATTCAAGTTCCTGGTAAGGCACTAGAGCTTCCCCATCTCTGCTGCATGCCCTGGGCCTTCCCGCATGATCTTTGCTTACTCTTCAGGATCTGGCCATTCCCACCAAGGCCCATTTCCTGACATGCCCACTGGCCTCTTGCTCTGCAGGCTCAAAGGCCTCTGCCATTCCAATGCAGCCATGCTGTGTGCCCACTGAACTGTTGGTCAAATATCAGGCTGGACGAGAGCGGGCAGGTCAATGAGGCGAGCTGTGTCTCTGAATAATAGCAGGGACAGGCTGCCAGGCACCCCAAAGGACAGGCAGGCAGGCTGGCTCAGTAATATGACCAGTACATTGGGTGACAGTGCCAAGAGGATTGCTGTGATCCAACCCATCACATCAGGCTCCAGCATTATAAACGCATCTGCCATGGCTGTTGCTTTGGACTAGACAGTCTACATAGTGCGGTGATCTCTTCACACAGCAACATCATCCCAAACATCACTACTGTGAGTGGGCCCTCTTATGCACTGCTGGGGCTGCTGTGTCTAATACAGCATTACTCTAGCAGCTTTGGGCAGTGCCAAATACAAGGTAGAAGAGCGACTCAAGGCAGCTTCATCACTGCCACATTCATGCCAAAGAAGCTTTGGTGGGAATCATAGTGGGCCACAAAATCTCTATGGAATAGGGATGTAAA